AACTCCTCGCTATGGATTCATGTTTGTTCAATGTCACCATTGATTATGGTGATAATGAAGACTTGGGTGATCTATGAGTTGCTTCATTTTCATCCTTGAGGACACAATGCCTTCATGGGGGGAGTAATGTCAAGACCCAAATTATGTTAAGAGTTTGTTAGAATTAGCTAATTGTTTGTTTTGATGACTGAAAACTAGCAAAATGTTAGTAGTACTTAGGTTGATTAGTGTGCTATCATCAACTTTAGGAGCTGTATTTTTTTATTGTTTTGCACCTAAGGAAATAAGAATGCAATTTAAATTTCTCTCTACAATATTTCTACTTCGTCGAAAATTTTTTTGGGAAGTTCTTTCTCCAAATCTTTTTTCTTTTCTAATTTTTCTCAAATCAGGATCTAGGATCCTGACAGCAGCCTCCTTATTTCTGAAGGTTAAGAAAGCCAATGTATAGTTGCTGGAAGTTTTGCAATTTTAATTTATTGGAAATTGTGATTGTGACGAGTACTAGGAGTAATCTGGAGTTGTTGATCAACTTATTGAATTGGAGAAAACGTCCTGGGGAAGTGTCCCTTTTAACATGAGCACGATACCCTGTATGAAGACCATAAGAGTTGTATATGAGAGCAGCTGAATAACATCTTTTAAAGCAACAATTCATGGATAGATATTGTGCAGCTGTAGCTTGAGGAGAAGAAATTGCGCTGAATCAAAGGTTGGTACTGAGTTTTTTCACGATGGGAAACTTGTTTTGTGCATATCTTTTGAAGTTGTAATGTTGGACAGCAAAGGACTTGCAATTTACAGCGAAACCAATGTAGATAGTTCTGAGCTCCGGAGTTATATTTGTCATGTATCTTCTTGTGTATGGTTAATACCAACCATCAGTATCTGCTGAAAGAGGGTCTGATGCATGGTAATTGGTGAGTATAACTAGCAAAAGGCCCTGTTGTTTGACCGAAAATCTGTCATCTAAATAATGGAACTCTGAACCGCAGTTTCTCAGAGTAGGACTTGGTGTTTTGTGCCAATTCTGTAAATTCCATTATTGTTCTGCATGTATTTGATCTTCTTTGTTTGTTTTCTCATCTTCCTTCTTAGTTTTGGCAGAAAACAATGATGTTTTGAAATATAGCATTCCTGCTTGAAGTAGATATTGGTTCGAATTTAGGCATCTACTGAATGATATTCTTTTTTGGAAAACCCAAAGTGACATTCGGGTGAGATGTCTTTGTCTACATGTCTGAGTGTGTAACACTTTGGTAAGTGTTCATCTTGGCAGACGTTTCATCTTGACTATGTTTTGTATATATTGTTGGTGTACTATAAGATTAAGTTGTATTTCCCCTTCTGGAGCCTGCTCTTTCTTCAATCTTGACTAGTGTCATGAGTTTTAAATATGGTCCTTGTAGTCTTCTTCTTCTGAGGAAGGGAAGAATTTCAACTCCAACCTGATAGATTTGTAAAAATGTTAATTCGACGGTTATTCATGCTGCTTAATCCCATAATTTTAGGATATGCATTTAAGCTTGGTTATATTTTTCTTCTTTCTTTCTTTCAACATTGTTTGAGTTAATCCTGTTATCCAATTTTTCTGTCCAAGGTAAGTTCTTTATTTCTGGATCTCAATGATTTTGTTTGATTGCATGGTTTACCCACACTGGTTTACCATACGTCATTGTCTCTTTTCATTACTCTTAATAAACTATAAATATAATGAGGCATTATTTTCTTGCGTCAAACCATCAGCCACGGTCTTCAGATGTTTTGTAACAAGAGTTTTAGCGGGTTCAGGATGATTCAGGCTTGTATGCTCTATTGTTGTTGCTTTTTATTTTCTTATTTTCTTAATGGCCAATGTTTAATTTGAATGCAAAGACTCAGCTTGTTGGTGACATACTATTTTCCTATTCCGTACTAGCTTTGGATGATTCTTCCTTATGATACTGTTATCTTCTTAAGGAAGAGTATAGGGTTTTCTTTATCTTTTTCCTGCAGAAACATGGGCTCTCCAGCCCTCTTCTCTATAGTTAAAGTGGCTGATGGTCATAATTTGGAGCTTGTTAGCCCCACTGGATTCTAGAGAGACTGTAGTTTAATTAGGAGAGCAATGATTTAGTGACAAAGTTTTCTTTCCTTTGGTGTATAAAGAATGCAGTATCTGCCCGGTCTTTGAGGCCGAACAATGAACTCCTAAGCCCCTCAGGTTTCAAGCTTGCTGGCCGGATCTGCCAGTTTCACTCAAAGACATGCTTGATCTGTCCAGTCGTGCACAACACACAAGCCATTAGGAAGAGCTTTTTGGTTTCGTTCATCTTTTCTTTCTCTTTCAGTTTCTTTCTCCTCTTGTTTTTGTTTTATGGAAGGCATGGGAAAATGGCAATTAGGGTTGGGACTGACTGGGATAGCATGGTATTTCCTTATCAGAGCAAGCCCGGTTCACATTAAACTGAGTCCACATAAACTGTGTTGGTTTAAAGGAAGATTTTTGTGTTCTGAGCTATAAAAAATCCTCCACGTGGATATGTTTTGTTGCAGTAACGCAGTGAGAGTTGATATTTTAAGAGCCAAAAAGATGCATATATCTTATTGACTAAAATATACACGTATGGTAATAAGCTTCTAGTGCAGATTTACATTCTAGCACAGGGCTCAATTTCTTGCCAAGTGTTATTGTGATATACCCAAAAAAATCAAAAACTGAAAGCTAACAACTTCAATTTGTTATCTTCCTTAAAAGAAAACTGCCTATGGGACTTAAAGTAATTGATTGAAACCAGTTAGATTTGAAGCACTACCTGCAAAACAGTTTTCTGCGATGGACACCAGGCCTGCCTCTCGAAGACACTATCTCACCACACACAACTTCACTTATCAAGTCTTTGAAGATCAATCGCTCAATGTCCAACGCTATTGCCGAAATTTCACCTTGACTATCTTTGAATCTGAAAGGCTGGTGCATCAAGTCTTCCCGTAAGATGCTTTTGAGACTGTCATCTTCGTCATCCAAAAAGCAGTTTGAGTTGTTAGCTTGTAGGCGGTCTATCTCTGAACACAAACTTCTCAGAATGCGTTGCCCTCTTGGTCTTTTCTCTGCAAGCATGCTTGATGAAAGCCACTGATTTGATGAACTTTCCAGCAATAACTGCTGGGCTAAAATTTCATTGACAGTATCAAACACTAGTTTCCTTTGGGCTTTCTCCACGTGCATTATCTGGCCACCTCTTTTACCAATGTGTTTGTCTTTTAACAACCTGGTGCCTTCCTTGCTTCGTTCGAGGACAATGAAAAGGTTAGGATTTATCGGAAGGCTTGACTGATGAAGCTGGGTTGTGATTATGCTGGATTCTATATTTCTGAGAAGACCTGATGCTAACAGTATCTCTGAGATGTATTTATGATCTGGATTATTGTTGTTGCAGGAGCAGGGATTTCCAGCAGTGATGAGTTCCTCATGACTGAGGTTGGAATTTAGAAGATTGTCATTCTCAGAACATAAAGTGTGTATAATGCAGCTGGAGAAGTGATTCAGATCCTTGGGGATCCAATCTGCTTCTTCTGAACTTACAAGCTCCTCCTCATCTGCAGAAAATTTAAGAAAGAATTTATCAGCGAGAAACCCTGCATTTGTGCCAAAAATAACAGAGAACTTTCTCTTCGCTACAGAGATCTGAAAAGATTCTGTCTCCTGCCTTGCTTAGTTCTCCTTTTAAAGACCCAGTATTATTATCTACTACATTCCTGACCGTTTCTCTTTCTTATAGTTTTTTAACATTAAGATGGGCTTGTATATGTTAATGTAGATTGAAGTTTCACTGAAGTGAAATAGAGGCTGCAAGTGCCTACCTTTAAAGACATTTGAAGTCTTCTTCTTCACGGGAGATGGTGATTCATCTCGGTAGAATGTTGCATCAAGAACAGAAACAGGACTTGGTTGTTCCAAAGAAACTTTTATGGGTTCCACCATTAGTCTCTCTTCATTAAACCTTGATTCTGGATGCTAAACGAGAGAAAACAAAAATATGTTAGATACTAATGAAATTAAGTGAAAGATTTGAGCCACAAAACTAAGAATACTCACTCTTTGTTTTTGGCTGCCTTGCTCAGATAAGGTGACATTTATCCCGTTAGATCTATCTGCACTGGTGATTTCAGTGTCAGCAGTTGAGGCTATGCTTATATGCTCTCAGATTGTACAGAACTAGTGTCACCCTGGTGACTAAACTCCCTCAAATTAGTACTTTCAGTCAGTTGGTTGTCAATTTGCTGCAAATTGACAGATCGTCTTTTGTACTTTCTGCATGGGGACCCTGATTCCGTTTTCTGTCTATTAGGCTGCCTTCTGGTCCTGCTCGACTCTGATGATGGGATGGTGTAGCGAGAATGCTTCTCTGACCCAATCTTCTTCTGTTGCAATCTCAGGTTCATATTTCCTGAGCCTTTATCCGACTTGGTGTTATCTCCTGTAGTGGGTGGAGTCTCCTTCGAAGTGTCTATTAATCTGAAAGTTTTTACAGTGGTATTCTTATCCATCATAGTTACATTTTGAGTGGAAGCACCTCTAAGAGTGGTCGATCTTGGAGTTAGATCTTTAGTCATTTGCTTAACAGTCATCATCTTTCTTGTATCTCCAGAATCACCAGTCTGGATTCTACGGAGACCTGAACGACTTACTGCAGAAGCCAAATCTGTGGCTTTCCCATCACATTTTGCTGGTTTAATAATGACAATTGGGGATTTGAATGTCTTCACCGCTTGTGCCCCCTTAATGGCGGGTGAAATTTGGTTGCTTGAGGTCTGAACAAGACTGCTTCTTGTCTGCGAAACCAAATTTGAAGTACAATCTTTTCTACTCTCTAACACCTCTTTTGTCTTCTGCATTGCTTCAAGTATCTGTTTAAGAGCTCGGAGATCTTTTCCAGACTTCTTGAACTCAAGTTGTGCCAATCTCTTCTCAATTTCACCGTAAACAGAAAGAGAAGAGTTTTCGACCTTTGATGCAGTCTTTAAAGCTGGTGTTTGGCCCTTGCTCCCTTCCTGTTGCCTCCATGGAGCCGGTTCAATTGGACATCTGGAGCTTGCAATGGGCTTCTTCACAGAATCAGCATTTCTAAGTCGTGGTGAGGTGGGTTTCTCATGAGAATGTTGCCTGGGGGAGCTAGAAGTCCAGTTCTGCTTGCTATCATTGGTTTTTCTTGATGATTTTGAGAAGGGATCACATATAACATCAGAGCGGGACTCAGTTTGCCCTGTCTGAATATGATTATGCGTTGGAGAGTCTGGGATAATTTCCAAGCCCATCAGCTTGGCTACAACACTAGACGGTCTTCTGTAACTTCCGGGTTCTTGCTGTTGGTTCAGGTCGTCCCCCTTCTCCCTACACAGATCTCCTGGCAGACAATTTGATTTCCTATCAATGGTGGAACACCTTAAGGAGCATTCTCTACTATCTAATGACAGCCTGGGAAGCTCTTTAAGTTTGATGGTGGATTTGAGTCCATCTCTGGATTCTCTCCCATCACAAGAGAACCTGCGAGTGTCCTTGGCTGCTACCAGAGAACCATCCTTCCTTTCATTAGAACTCCAACCTGCATCTCCAAGTCTAGGAAGATATCGACATGATTCATTGAGATTGGAAGGTCTAGTGTTGGCAGATTTTGGCTGCTGCATAGGCCTGGGAGAATCTATATATTTCAAGTTCTGATATCCAGCTTCATTTTTGGCTGCAGTTCTAACAAGTATACCTCGTGCTTCTCTGTGAATGGAGTCTTTGACAACATCGCGGAGGTCAACAGATTTTTGGCTCAACTGAGGAGAATCATCAAGAGACTTTCGGCTCAATTGAGGAGAACCATTTGGTTGATAAATTGGGAATTCTCGGGTAGATATTTCGGGGAAGATTGTGTGGCTAAAGGCGGGTGATTCTAGTTGAGATGTTCTGTTGTAGTCCATAGATGAGAAACTAGACGAACAAGAAGAGGATGAAAATGAAGTTTTGGATGATTCAGTGGAGACCCCGTGTTTCTCTTTGACAGACTTCTTCATATTTCTGTCCTGCAATTTTGGGTTATATCAACTTAAATGACATTAATGTAGACCTCCAAACAAAAGGAAAGTAATTGAAAATTCAGTTTCTTACAGGTATAGTCTTTTCTGATGCATTAGTTGGCTCATTCATACGGTTGCCACTTTGACCTGAGAAAGGCCTTAGTGTGTCAGCAACGCCAATACTTGTGCTTATGCAACTAGTAAGCAAACTCGCATGAATAATTTATATACATTACATGCTTGTTTAGCATATAGAAGAGAAGCTAAATTTCCAAAAGCTAAACCAACTTTCATGTGGGTAAATTACCGATGGGTAAGTAACTAGGATTGAAAACCATAAAACTACACATTCGTCCATTATCGTGAGTTGAAGAAGCAGAAAAAGAGGAAGTTTACCCGGTGGAAGTGCCTTGGGGCTATGGCCAATGAGGCGTCGAGATCCAAGAAGATGATGGCGGTCGAAGAGATGAAAAATGCCATTCATGCAGCCAATCTGCCTGCGGAGATCCGGGTTGTCATCTGACATGGTATGCAGAAGCTTTGCAGACATGTTGGTTTCTTTGTTTGTTTGTTTTTTTTTTTTTTTATCAAGTAAAGAAAGAGAGAGTAGTCATTTGGGTTTTGAGAAATTTGTGAGGAGAAAAAGAAGATCCCAAATAGTTTAGGATGAGGAGGATAAGGGGAAGAGGGAGAGAAAGAAATGTTATATTAAAAAGGGGATTGGTGGAAGGAAGAAGGAATTGTTTGTCTTTTGGGCAGAGCATAAAAGATGATATGATGGAAAATCTCAGTCTTGTGTTTGGAAAGAATTGAGTAAGAGTAATGCCAACCCATCTTTTTATTGTTAATTATTAATTTTTATTTCTTTTATAATCATCTGGAGTGTGTGGGTCAAATGGGTTTGTGGGGGGAGGGGTTGATTTTGTTAGATCCATGCGGACAAAATAATGGGTGTGGGTCTGGACCTCTCTACATTTGCATGTGGAGTTTGTCAGACGCCTCAACCAATTTTCCAAAGTGGATTTCTCTACTGTAAACACAATCCCTTTCCTTACTTTTGTTTTCTTATCGTTTTACATAATTAATCACTTAATGTACAATTAAATCAATCAAATTAGTTATTTAATTGGAATTGGAATTGTAAATAGAGGGGTGGTTCTTTAGCTCTTAATTTTTAACAAAAGCAAAAAATGAAATATAAATTACAAAGGTAGGTTAAAAAAAAAAAAAAAAAAGAGATGTATATTTTATTGTCAAGTAAGCTAAATTTTATAACTTAATATTCAAATGTGAGTAAAATATATAGTATTTAGCCCTAAAACGTACTTGAACAAATCATAAAGGAACTAGAGATTTTCAACTTTATGCCAAAAAAGACAATGACACAGGTGAAAGGACGAACCTTCTTAATTTGGATAATAATATTTCAACCGTATATATAATTAGAATACTTGGTTTATTATTTACCTCATCCCACTTACATACACTGCTTGATTATATATATGCGTATATATACCCGCATAACACCCATATATTAATCACTCATGCAATAGTAAGTAAAATTTTTTTGTCTACCCAAAGACAGAATTGCAAAGAATGGTGGGTAGACAAATTTTATACATAAAAGTAATTAAGTATTAAAAGGAATAAGACAATTCTGACTGTGTGTATTTTAGTATATCATCATAATAATCAATTATATATCAGTATAATAATATTGTTATTTACATTCTAATGATAATATGGGTTTTAATT